AAAATAGTTGTTTGGTTTCTATTGACTGTTTTGTATTACTTAAAGTAGTCCCAGTAAAAAAAGATTATGTCTATGGGTCCCATTCTGAACGGCCCTGTCAAAGGGACCCACCAGGTAACAAAAACGTGTATGTGTGTATCTGTATGTGTGTGAGTGTGTGTGTGTATCTGTGTGTATGCATGTGTGTATCCGTGTGTGTGTGTGTGTGTGTGTGTGTGTGTGTGTGCGTGTGTGTATCTGTGCGTATGCGTGTGTGTATCTGTGCGTATCCGTGTGTATGCGTGTGTGTATCTGTGTATGTGTGTGTGTATCTGTGTGTATGCGTGTGTGTATCCGTGTGTGTATCTGTGTGTATGCGTGTGTGTATCTGTGTATGTGTGTGTATGCTGGGTTTAGGATGGGTTTATGCAGATTAGCAGATTATGGAGTTATTAAAAGTGGAATTTTCTGATGATTCATGTGTATGTGTCAAAGTCTTAGTTTTGTTTGTTTGGGTTCGAGGCTGGAGGTCGTATCTGCTCTCACTTTCTTTCTTGCAAATATCAGTTTTTCTGCATCTGCTACTGCTACTACTACTACTGCTACTACTACTGCTGTTACTACAACTGTAAAATGTCAATGACTATATTACAAAGCACCAAAATACAGAGAATGGTGAAAAACGGACAAAAAGGCATCGTTTCCAAACCAGTCTGACCAGTGTGGTACCAGTCTGACCCCTGTGGTACCAGTCTGACCCCTGTGGTACCAGTCTGACCACTGTGGTACCAGTCTGACCCCTGTGGTACCAGTCTGACCCCTGTGGTACCAGTCTGACCACTGTGGTACCAGTCTACACTACATACTTAGGCTTTGTCTGTCCCTGTGACACTTAAAATGCATCTCGTATGTACTGTTATTTTGTTACTTTGGGTATTTGATTTTCACACCGGATCAGCTTTGTAGTTCATCACAAGGATCAATACATACAGACTGTCTCAGTATACATGCCTCAGTATACATACAGACCTCTGTCTCAGTATACATATCTCAGTATACCCAGAGTGGGACTGTGAGAGTATTGTGGAGGTATGTGTGGTGTGTGTGTGTGTGTCTCTTTCCTCTCTGAGCCTTGTTGCTTAGTGACAGCTCGGTAAACTGTAGAATCTTTGCAGAGGAAGCAGACATGTTCGTTGAGCAGTGTGACAGCCCTGTGGTCACCGGCTGTTTCTCAGCAAGAAGGTCCTGGGTTCGATTCCACCTCCAGACTTTTCTGAGTGGAGTTTGCATGTTCTCCTTGTGTCCGTGTAGGTTTTCCTCAGGCTGCTTCACTTCTGAACAATTGTAAAGCACTTTGTGTGACCATATAAAAAACATTGTATATTTAATCTATAATTAAAACTATTATTAAACATGAAAGTGGCATCAGAGTAATTTGTATTTAAAAATTATAAACATTTTGGAAATTATTCACACACAGACGCATACACACACGGACACTCACACAGACAGACACATACACAGACGCATACACACACTCACACAGACACACACCCCTCCCCTGCTTCTCTCCATTAGCTCATGCTGCTCCAGTGTCACCAGTGGAACCACATCCTGTGGGAATGTAGGTCAGGGCGGCTGCTGCGGTCATCTCTCACTAAACACACATTTATCTGAACACACACCCATCTGTCTGAACACACACACATCTGTCTGAACAAACACATCTGTAAGAGACACACACAATTTTGAGGTGAAACTATATGAAATAAGACAAAGTTACAGCACAAATTGGTAAATAGTACTATTGTTTCCATGTTATTCTTGTTTTTCCATGATGCTGCATGATGCTGTCACTAAACTAAACTCACTCTAATGTCTTATCTTTAAGGAGGAGGAGGTGGAGGTTGAGGCAAGGTGGAGTTTGTTGCAGGGAGGAGGTGGAGGTGGAGCCGGGGAGGAGGTGGAGGCAGGGAGGAGGTGGAGGTTGAGGCAAGGTGGAGTTTGTTGCAGGGAGGAGGTGGAGGTGGAGGCGGGGAGGAGGTGGAGGCAGGGAGGAGGTGGAGGTTGAGGCAGGAAGGAGGTGCATGTTGAGGCGGGGAGGAGGTGGAGGTTGAGGAGGTGGAGGAGGCAGTCTACCAGTCTGAAGTTCCTCTCCAGCTTCATGTGAACCATGAACAGAGTCAGGACCAAACTCTTTAAAAACACAAATTTCTGCGTCTGGCTTCAGAGGATTAACTGCTGTGTTTTTGTTTTCTTTATTCTTCTTTGGATTGTTGGAGCATTCAGCAGCACAGAGGCTCTACTCACGATCAAAACAACCCCAAGGCACAAAGCATTCTGGGGCAGCAATCAAATCATCAGAGGCCAGAACTACAGAGCCTCAGCGTCTTTGTGCTCACACGGTTCAGTTTTCATTTCGACAGATTAGTTAGTCAAGTGAAGCGTAAAATACATTTGAATAATAACAAAAAAGTGAAAAACCCAATATACAACACCAATAGTCTCTAAGATTGTTAAGGTCTTTCTGTCAGACTGTACAACGAACACTGCCTACCTGACCTCACTGTGCAATACTTTGATAATGTGAGAATGTGCAATACTGCTAACATGTGCAGATGTAAACAAACTGTATATTTATGCACTAGAACAGCCATTCCAAAACTCAGTAACACCGAGGCCCCCTTAAAAATCTGACGGGTCTGCGTGGCCCCCCAAAATAATAACCAAGAAGACAACATTAAGAATAGGATCTTCTGGTTATTTTATTTTGGGGAAATAGCCTCTGCTACAAACATTGTAATACAAAAATGATTACAGTGGATTATTCAAGTAAAATAATTAACACAAATACTTTAATATTACAAACAAAACATTATTAATTTAACATTAAATAATAATATTATTTTTTTATTTTTTTTATGACCTCCCGCGGCCCCCCTGCAGTACCCTCGCGGCCCACCAGGGGGCCGCGGACCCCACTTTGGGAGACACTGCACTAGAATATACAGGGTTATACTTTATTATGCTTAAGTTAGAGATGCTGCTCATTCCTACTGTCGGCTAACTGCTGATGAAACACTGGAATTTCTCTCGTTCTTAAAATCAGATCAGATAAAGCTCAGTCGCTCGAGGCAAAGGACAAACGAGCACCTTCTGTGGAAACAACTCTAAACTTAGAGCTGTTGGCTGGAGGTGACACTTGACCTGACCATACACGCACGCACACACACACACACACACACACACACACACACACACACACACACACACACACACACAGGAGAGAGACACACACTCACACACACACACACACACACACACACACACACACACATACGCACAGGAGAGAGACACACACATACAGGAGAGACGGACACACGGACACACACACACGGACACACACAGGAGAGAGACACACACATACAGGAGAGAGAGACGCACGCACACATACATACACACGGGACACACACATACAGAAGAGACGCACACACATAGGACACACACATACAGGAGAGGGACACACATACAGGACATATACACACACACAAACACAGGACATACACACAGGACATATATACACACAAATACAGGCCATACACACAGCAGGACACACACACAGGACACATACACAAACACAGGACACAAAAACGCACACAAACATACAAATGGGACACAGACACAGGACACACAATCACACACACACAGGACACAAAAACACACACACAAACTGTCTCTCACACTGGGCCTCTCGCGGCGCACAGACCCCCAGCTGGCTCTGACCGTGGAGTGCCCCCAGTCTGTCGGGGTGAGAGCGAGGTGAGGGGGCGGGGCCTGGGGGGGCGGGGCCAGCATTTACACTTCAGGGTCGGACAGGTCAGCCGTGATGTTGTCTGTGTGTGTCTGTGTGTGTCTGTGTGTGCACCCTCCCACCCCCACCCCCACAGGGCTCTGTCCCTGTGTGTGATCATCAGGAACCTACAATACAGTTATACATGTGTACAGTACACACACAAATACGCACGCACACACACAAACAGGCATGCACACAAACAAACACGCACGCGCACACAATCACGCATGCACACAAACACACACACACACACACATGCACAAACAAATGGTGCGTGAATTAACAATTGATCTGAGTTTACACAGAATTGTTTTTAAGAAAAGGCCTCTGATGAAACCGGTCTAATGTGATCCTGAGACTGATGAGAATGATTTAAGACCAAACAGTGAAATGTCAGTGTTGCAATCATCAGTTACAGAAAAGTAGAATGAAGTAGAATAACTCTTTACTAAAATACAATATCTAACTTTAGCAAAATAAAGACACAAGTGTAACATCTTTAGTTCGATCTCTGCCAGGGGGTAGTGTGATCACCAGGGTTTGTCAGTGTGTCTCTGTTCAGCAACATGACGCTTCTGGTTTTGGAAATGTTCTGTGTCACCGTCTGGATTCAGGCTGGAGCGGTGCTGTGCCTCTTGGAGTGGGTCTGTGCTCTTCGAGTGCTGAACTGTGACCTTCAGTACATCTGACAGAAATCTCTAAAGTCTTTGAAATGATACAAAGACGGACAGGTCGAGGTCAACACTCTGAGGCAGTGAGAATTTCCCACAATGCAACACACAGAACATCGGAACAAACTCTTTCAGGTCGTTTACTTCAGTTCTGTTCATATTCATTCATCTTGTGTTTTTAGTTTAATTTCACATGTTTTACTCAATTCTTGTTTTAGCGTCAATCATATCAACATGTGTTAGATATACATGTTAAATGACTGATTCAAAGGCAGCTTTACACACTCACAGACACACACACACACACACACACATACAGGCATAGACACACACATGTGAGACGGGGGCAGGAGCAGTGTGTAGCCTCCCGGCCCAGGAGCTGTCTGCCAGCTGAGATCAGACTCTGGGGGGTACGATGGAGACTGTTCTGGACCGGGAATATAATGTGTGCGTGTGTTTGTGTGTGTGTGTGTTTGTGTGTGTGTGTGTGTTCACAGAGGCTCGTGGGCACAGAGGCAGTGTACAGGGCGCTCGCCTCCTGCTGCAGGAGGAGGTGGCACATGCAGAGGAGCAGTCTGAGGTAACATTGAAGCCACTCTTGTACAAATACATGTGATTGGGAAACGGGCGCACCCTACGCAGACACGAGGAGAACATGCAAACCCCACACAGAAAGGTCCTGAAGGAACCGAACCCAGGACCTTCAGCTGTGTATCGCTAACTTGGACTGTTGGAGGTGGTTGCTCATACTTGGGTAGTGAAAAAAACTGAAATTCAGCAAAACTAAATACTAACTAGGTAAACTGTGTGTTGCTATGGTAACTATTACATTCTTCAAGGGATGGATAGGACCTGGACTAGAACCAGTCCAGGACCAGACCAAGACCAGTCTAGGACCAAAACAGATTCTGTAACTGCATTTATTTGACAACTGCTGCTTCTCCAAATCCACAAAGCACATGTGGACAGGTTGGGCGAGCTCCCATGATCCTCGAGTATCCGATGGAGAGTATAGAGCTGGTCCAGTGTTCCGCGGCCGGGACCAAAACCACACTGCTCCTCCTGAATCAGAGATTCAACCATCGGTTCAAGTCTTCTCAGTACCTCAGAGTAGACCTTACCGGGGAGGCTGAGGAGTGTGATCCCACAATAATTGGAGCACACCCTCCGGTCCCCCTTCTTGTAGAGAGGGACCACCACCCCGGTCTGCCACTCCATTGGCACCGCCCCGAGCGCCACGCGATGTTACAGAGACGTGTCAAGAGACACTCCTACAACATCCAGAGACTTTAGAGTCAGGACGGATCTCATCCACTCCTGGAGCCTTAAGGAGGCTGCCAACCACCTTGGTGACCTCAGGGAAATAGAAGTATCCGCCCTGACATCTTCAATACTTAGTATATAGTATTCCCTCCACCGCCCAACAATATCCCCAGTCGAGGTCAGCATCTCTCCACACGTACCGTACACAATTTTGCCAAAGAACTGCTTCGCCTCTCTGAGACGCGGACGGTTTGCCAGAATCTCTTCGAGGCCGACCGATAGTCCTGCTCCATGGACTCTTCGAACTCCTCCCAGTTCCGGGTTTTTGCCTCTGCAACAGTCCGGGCCGCGGCACGCTTGGCCTGGTACTGGACAGCTGCCTCGGGAGTCCCATGAACCATCATGGCTCGATAGGACTCCTACTCTACAGTCTGATGGCCTCCCTTACTGCCAGTGTCCATCACCGAGTTCCATGTCCCCTTCCTCCCCTGGGACCTGGGAGAAGCTCTCCCGGAGGTGTGAGTTGAAAGTCCGTCTGACAGGGGGCTCAGCGAGACGTTCCCAGCCGACCCTCACTACACGCTTGGGTCTGCCAGGTCTGACCAGCTTCCTCCCCTTCAGCGGATGCAAATGACGACCAGGTGGTGATCTGTAACAGTTCCGCCCCTCTCTTTAGCTCCGCCCCTCTGTATAGCTGTGTCCAAGACACGCTGCCAAAGGTCAGATGACACAACAACAAAGTCGAGGGGCAACGAGTACGTCCAACCCTGGAACCAGAGCCCAAGCTGTGTGTGGAGGTGAGGTCGACTATCTCTAGTGGGAATCTAGTGGGAATCTCTCAACCTCCCCCACCAGCTCAAGCTCCTTCCCCAGTGAGGGGACGCTCCACATCCCAAGAACCAGATGCTGCGTGTGTGAACCGAGGTCTCCCAGGAAAGGTGCAAAGAGGCCCCCCCGACCTTTCCCCCATGAATCCCTCCATGAGTGATGGGTCCACCAGAGGACAGGCCCACAAGAAGACAGGTCCACCAGAGGACATGTCCACCAGAGGACAGGTCCACCAGGGGACACGGGCCTGGCTCCAGGGTGGGGCTCCCAAGACCTGTTGGCCATGGGAGACTCATCCCCTAATGCCTAGCGTACATCGGACTGGCAACTGATTATATCCGTTGCGTATAAGTTGCTGCCCCGCACACATCGACAATCTGACGAAAACGGGCAACTCCCAGTACCAGACCAGTCTCGGGATTAACAGCGCGTACATCGACAGCAAATGGCCTCACCTACAGTGTGTTTTCTGACATAAACTGTTGCGGGCGCGCAATACACACACGTTGTCGGAGCGGCGCATGGAGCGCGCACATCGGGTCATATCTCCGAAACTGAGGACAACTAGTTGCCGAAAAGTAGAACACGGGCAACTGACTGAAACTGGAGATCGACTGTTTATCTCCAGTTGTAAGAGCGCGCACATCAACCGATTTCGGCAACTGATCATCTCCATCATCTCCTCTCAGTTGCCAAAAGCCGCCTTGCAACTAGTTGTCTCCAGTTTCTCTGGCGATGTACGCTAGGCTTAAGACCTGTTTTCAGAGGAGACCTTACATGGGACATAACGCCTCAGACGACAGCTCCTCAGATCCGCCGAGTCATTGACAAACTCATTTGTTGATGTTTCTACATTAATCTTTATCCCTTTGTTTGTTTGCAAGAAATTCCAGTCTTAGTGATTTACTAAAAGAGACCACAACATTCCAATTAATGGTGCAGCCGTATGCTCTACTAATAACCTCCTCTCTGTCCTCTCTCTGTCCCCTCTGTCCTCTCTTTTTGTCCTCTCTTTGTCCTCTCTCTCTGTCCTCTCTCTGTCCTCTCTGTTCTCTCCTCTGTCCTCTCTTTGTCCTCTCTCTCTGTCCTCTCTCTGTCCCCTCTCTGATCTCTCTTTGTCCTCTCTCTGTCCCCTCTCTGTCCTCTCTCTTTGTCCTCTCTCTCTGTCCTCTCTCTGTCCTCTCTCTTCTCTCCTCTGTCCCCTCTTTGTCCTCTCTCTCTGTCCTCTCTCTGTCCTCTCTCTGTCCTCAGGAGCTGCTGCAGACCTTCATGGAGGGACACCTGTCTCTGGACGTCTTCCTCGACTCCTTCCAGCAGCAGCGACGCATCTACCACGTGAGGCGTGCACAGGCAGAGAAGCTGCAGGAGCTGTCTGACACCTCCCAGACCGCCCCCAATGCGAGCTCCAAACCTCACAGCCCCACAGACCTGCCAGACCCCGCCCCTGCACAGGACTCTGACCCCCCCAGACCCAACGGCTTCCTGCCCCAGGGCCCACTCCGAGTCTTTCAGGTCCGCTACGGTCTGACTCCTGCCATCCTGGTGCCGCACTGTCCGCTCTCCCCCAGCGCTAACGGGTCATGTGGCCTGCCCCCCCCTAACCCCCCCTCTGCAGCAGGAGCAGGTGCGGTGCAGGGGTCCGCAGTGCAGGGGCCCTCAGTGCAGGGGCCCCCCATGGGACTGCGCCTTATCGGACAGCTGCCTGGAGGCTGGGCGAGCGGGCGGCCGGTCAGAGTGCAGCAGCTGTACCGACCGAACCCCGCCCACACCGAGCCCCCCTGTCGATAAGGACGCACACCGAGCCCCCCTGCCGATAAGGACGCACACCGAGCCCCCCTGTCGATAAGAACGCACACCTGTCGATAAGGACGCACACCGAGGGGAGCGGAAAGAGGCTGGAAGTATTTCTTTGACCATGTATTTAACGTCCAGTACGGAGCAGATATGTTGTTAAATGGGTCTAAATAAATCCAGAGTTTACTGATCCCTGCTGAAGACAAACAGGTGTACATCAGCGTCTAAACAAATACATAGTTATTAAAGTGACTAAAAATAGTCAAAGTGCAGCAGCAGGTGGTGCGGTGCTTCCTCTGATGTCCCCGGAGTCTGTCTGTTTCAGACCATTTTCTCTGCTCTGGTTCAGAGTGAAATTCTGAATGCTTTATTAGCATTTTTCAAAACAAAAAGAGCATTCCTCCAGTGGGTTTCCTCTTGACTAACTGCTTTTTCCAGAACATTCAAACAAGTCACAACAAGCAGACGTCATAGAGTCACAACAAGCAGACGTCATAGTCACAACAAGCAGACGTCATAGTCACAACAAGCAGACGTCATAGAGTCATGAGATTATAAGGAAACTCAGAGAAAACAGACAAATATTTAATTTAATAAATATCACAATGCTTTTCTCTACTGTAAATATCGCGATACTGATTATTTCCCCCATATCTACTGCTTTTACAACATATTGGCCCTTGGCCAGGGGTTCTCCAGAGAAGAAAATGGCTCCAGCCTTTTTAAGAAGACTGAAGACTGGGCCTTTTGGACCAGACTGCTGCTGTTCTTCTACTGAAACAGAGTCCAGGCAGAGTCCAGGCAGAGTCCAGGCAGAGTCCAGGCAGAGTCCAGGCAGAGTCCAGGCAGAGTCCAGGCAGAGTCCAGGCAGAGTCCAGGCAGAGTCCAGGCAGAGTCCAGGCAGAGTGTCCAGGCAGAGTGTCCAGGCAGAGTGTCCAGGCAGAGTGTCCAGGCAGAGTGTCCAGGCACCGCGAGCAATGCTTCTTCCTCTGGGTCAGTGATAATCAGTGTCTGTTGTGTGAAGGAGTGTGTGTCTGTGGCCCAAATGCCAGAAGTGTGTGTTGTCTGTGTAGTGTGCGTCCCTCTGTTCAGTCTCGGCTCGTCTCAGTCCTGTGCAGCATGTGTTATTTATTCACATGAACTTGTTTGAGTGTGAGACATTGCTCCCAGCTCCGGAGGTGTTTGTGTCTCACTGCAGGAAGACTCCACTCATGAGTTCAGAGGGTTGGGTTCTGTGACGAGGATATTTCACAGACTCCTCTGGTCTTTGGGTACTGACCGACAGGACGAGATCACGGACACAAGCCCCACATGAGTCTCATCTGCAGAGTGACTGGGCGCTCCTGGGCTCATCTGTTTAGGAGGCCTCCTGGTGTCCTCTCTGGGGAGGTGTTCTGGGCATGTCCCATAGGAGACCAGGGGAATACTCTCAGTGGGAACGCCTCAGGATTCCCCCAGATGAGCTGCAGGAGGTGTGTGTGGAGAGCTCGGACTGCTGCCCCTGCCACCCGGCAACGGATGAGGAGAAAGAAAATGGATGGATGGAAAAAATGCAACGTCAGTCTTTTCATTGTGCCTCAAAAAGTCAAAAATACCATGAAGCTTTCACATAAACGATGCCAAACGGAACATTATATATTATTCCTCCATGACTTTCCCTGAGGCGTTATTTATTCGAAGCTTCAACAGTCGTCGATACAATCCACAGAAACACAAAATGGCAGTGAATACGTTTGAACTCAATGATTCAAGTATTTTTCTGAGTTTTCAGTTTGTGTCCGTGTCGTGTCTGATGCCGATCGGAGCAGTTTCCTCCCGGAATCTTTAACCATATATGGAGTGTCGGGACATTCCGGTGCATTCTGCCTCAGCCTACAGGAAAATGCCTTGTGCAGCCAGTGCCTCACACGTTTCCATGACAGCCGTGGAGCCTACACGTTTCCATGATGACAGCCGTGTTACCTGCACGTCACAGATGTTTTAACATAAAGAGTCCCCTGTTTGTGTTTACTCTTGTTCATGTGGACATTTAGGTGCTGAGAATATTAAAGCTGGAAAACCTTTGTTCTGTTTCATAAATACACTTTGTCCCAACAGAAGAGCCGTCGTTTTGACTGCTCCCGTTTAAACAAATGGAATTATGAGACATGGCCCCAAATATGTCTTGTTTTCCTCAAGTTTTATTAAAAGTAATTCATGAGGTTTTTGCATTTATTCACTTTTAACACGTGCTGGAACTGGTGAATAAAACATTTTGCAAAAAGGCTAATGCTAACTGCTAACAGTAAATAGTCTGTTGCTATGGTAACCAGCACTCGCTCTTCTTTTGTGGAAAAACAAGTGGTACCAGAACCAGTTCAGGACCAGCCCCTTGAGAAAAGAGCTTCAAGTGCCACAGAAAGAATGTGAATTGAAAATGTGTATGAATGAACGGAGCTGAAGTTAGAACCAAAAAGGCACATCCGCAGTATCTACACTTCTAAAACTAACAGTGTCAAATTGACTTCTCTGCTAGTGGTTTTAAGTAACATGTTTGACCAACTCTGACAATTTACCTCAGTTTGTAGAATATACATGTTTGCTGAGAGCTGATTGGCCGATAAAGGGGGTCTGATCTAAATCTGTGACGGAGACCAGAGATACATGGATTTAAAACTTGGGTTCTCCAGCTTTAACGTTGGCATTTCATGATTTCAAAAGTGAAACAATTGAAGTAGAACATGTGGATAAACATGGGCCAAACAACTGTGAGGGTTTATTACGGACTTTATCTCTGAACCCTGTGTCTTACATCTGCACAATACAAATGAACTTCTGTCACTTTGCCCTTGACACATTTATTTCCCCCAAAAGGTCCCCCGCCTCCGAGAAACATCTGTACTCACTACATCGTCAGATTTGGATCTAACGCTCCATAACAATATTCATTATGCCTCATTATCTTTAGAAGGTTTTTATAAAAAAGATTTAAGTGTAAAGAGGCTAGTTCTGATACATTACCACTCCAATCAGACTGACCACACCCCCTCACACAGAACACGACTTCTAAGACTGACCACACCCTCTCAGACTAACCACGCCCCCTCACACTGACTAGGCCCTCTCAGACTGACCACACCCCCTCACACTGACCACGCACTCACTTTGTTCCACCACACTTTTGTCCAATATAAAATGTCAGTGTTTAAAGCTCCTCACCTCGTTGATAAAACACTGTCTATAAAGCTCGGTATTTCATTACACTGCATTTCACCCACGGCCTGAGACGAAACGCCAAGATTTAAAGACCCTGCTGCGAGCTTCTGCCCTCCACTCTGACTGATTGACTCTGAAGTCTCTGTATGTAAACATAAACATTCAGCAGGTCTATATGTATTTTGAAAACTGAACTTGGATTTATTTATTTTAATTTGGGACAAGACATTTTAACGACCATGCAAAGTCCTTGGAAGTTATGGAAATACAAAACCTTTTACTCTCTCTTCACCTGGGTGCCTAGTTTAATCGCATGGATTCAAATCTAAATCTAGCAGACTCATCCTCCGCTTCAGCCACTAGATGTCACTGTTGGCGCATCGTTCCATGTGTTTTGTTTGTCCCTATGTTTTCTACTTTTTGTGTTCTGAGCCATAGATGTGTTCTTTAAAGTGCAGAGTTGGCGGCGTGCGCAGTACCAGGCCCCACTTTACCCTTTCATCAGACAGTCAAGTGCTTTTGTTGAATGTGTCTTTTTGAGAAGAAAGTTTGAAATTGGACTTGGACACAGTAAGACTCAGTGTGACTAATCGTGGGTAAAGCTTTATGTTCAGCATCATTCTGTCTTTGAAACTTTAACAGTATGTGTCCAAATACCTCCAGATGGGACATTGCCATGGTAGCGATGAAGCCGGCAAAATGAACAAAAAGCGTATGTGTTTTCGGTCCACCGTAACCATGGCAGCGGCTCAGAGCTGTCACTCAGGGTCTGGTTCAGATGCAGTGGTGTCCCGCGGTAGAAGATCATTCATGTGGAGAATCTTCAGTTTTACATTAAACTAATAAAACCATCAATATTCTCTATTTGTGGTTTTTTTCCCCATAACTTTGTTTTTTTTTTTTTTGGGAAAATCTTAAAGGTTATTGTTTATTATTCTCCCTGGACACCAACCTTTACGTGGTGGGGGAGTCTGAGTTAGAGTTTCGCTTTTCAGCGCTCAGCAGTCGGGCCGTTCTGGGCTCGGGCTCCTTTTTATTTTTACTTGTATTTTTTTTTATCAATATTTTTTATTATTTATGAATTTCATACATAATGATATGCATATATGTATTTATTAATAATAATGTCCGTTGATTGACCACAAGTTATTAAAAAAGTTGATATATTTATAACACCGTAACCGGCGTGTCCTACAGCCGCAGCAAGCCATGAACGCATCATCCCTGTTTTTCCTGTTGAATGCTACGGTCAACAGCGAACACACGGAACATTAACAGAAATGGATCAGGTGGACGCCCAAAACACATTCAGAAGTGGCTAAACTTGCAATTGGAAGGTGAGTGCGCACAACAAGGGAAATCAGATGTGTTGGGCTTCTGTCGGGCTCGGGCCTATTATACAACCTTAATTGGTCGGGCTTATACAGGCTCGGGCTTAGTATTAGCGGGCTCGGGCCGGGTCGGGCTTGATTTTTCAGGCCCGAACGAAACTCTGGTCCGAGTACTATGCTTTGTTGTCTGGGGCTATACTCCCCTGGTAGGGCCTCCCATGGTAAACAGGTCTTGGGTGAAAAAGCACATGCAGTCCGAAGCCACTATGGATAACGTTACCAATAACCATGATGTCGCCAGGCATGGCTCAGCTCATAAGCGAGCATCTGGTGGCCAGGCCTTAGCCCACGGGGCCCAGCCGGGCTCAGCCCGAAACAATCACATGGAGAGGCCCTCCTGTGGACCCACCCCACACAGAGGGATCCGTGGGGTATTTGTGCAGAGAGGACTGGGCAGCAGTCGAAGGCAGAGACCTCGACGACCCAGTTACACACAACATCTGGCTGTTGGGACGTGGGCCGTCACCTCACGGAAGGAGGCTGAGCTTGTGGCGGAGGTTGAGAGATACCTTGAGATTGTTTCACCTCCACACACAACTCGGGCTCTGGAACCCAACTCGGTGAGAGGGGTTGGACGCTCCACTTTTCTGGTATTTCTCGCGGGGAGAGGCGGCGAGCGGGGGTGGCCATACTCATCGTCCCCCATCTCAGCTCCACGTGTTGGAGTTCTCCCCGGTGAATGAGAGGGTAGCGTCCCTCTCCCTCTGGGTGGGGGAACTGTTGTTGTGCCAATGGGCCTAACAGCAGTGCAGAGTACTCGGCCTTCTTGTTGTCCCTGTGAGGGGTACAATGCACCTACCTATGTGGGGGATGCCGGTGACACTTGGAGAGGGGTGATGGGGAAGAATGGCCCTGATCTGAACTGAGTGTTCTGTTGTTGGACTTCTGTGCTAGTTACAGTTTTTCCATCACCAACACCATGTTCTAGCACAAGGGTGTCCACCAGGGGGCGCCAGGACCTGAGGCCGGGGGTCGATCATCGACTTTGTTGTCGTATCATCTGACCTCGGACGCGTGTCTCGGACACTCGAGTGAAGAGAAGGACAGAGCTAAAGATAAGGGCGGAGCTGTCAACCGATCACCACCTGGTCGTGAGTTGGATCCGCTGGCAGGGGAAGAAGCCGGTCAGACCTGGCAGACCCAAGCGTGTAGTGAGGGTCTGCTGGGAACGTCTCACTGAGCCCCCTGTCAGGCGGACTTTCAACTCACACCAGGCCCCACTTTACCCTCCGAGAAAGCTTCTCCCAGGTCCCAGAGGAGGAGGAGAGCTCCTCCCAGGTCCCAGTGGAGACTGAGTGGACCATGTTCTCCTCTGTCACCGATGCGACAACTTGAAGTTGTGGTCGCAAGGTCTCTGATGCTGGTCCCAGCGGCAACCCCCTAACCCGGTGGTGGACACCGGTAGTAAGGCATGCTGAAAGTAAGTAATATTTATTTATATACCGTCTTTCATAGACCAGAGTCAAAGCGGTTTACAATTGTGGGAATTTGTCTCTCATTCCACACAGAGATGGGAGCGGGGCCACGTTTTGTAGCTTAGGTCCTGGATCTATAGCCCGTCCGTCCGTAGGAGCGGATCCCTTTCTCACTACGGGTCTCCCCGAGGTTTCTGATTTTTTTCCACTGGGTTTTCTTATGATATGTCCAGCGTC